GGCCCGGGCTGGATTCAAACCTGCCACCTTAGGTGTATGTGGCTGGCGCCTTAGCCACTTGAGCCACAGGCGCTGAGCCGATAATCAGGAATTATTAACTCCAGGAAAAACAGAGTTGTGCAAGAAAGTATCCTAGGACAACTTGTTCTCTGCTGAGACCTGTGATGATGAAACTGTAATGACATTCATGAGCTATCATGTCCATCACACTGCGTGATGCTGGGTCAGGGGATTGAGGTAAGTGACCCCACCCCCAGAAAATGCCAGCCAGGTTGCCTATTATAGAAAAACTCATAAACAGGGCAGTGCCTGTGGTTCAGTGAGTAGGGCGCCAGCCCCATATACCAAGAGTGGCAGGTTCAAACCCAGCCCTAGCCAAACTGCAACAAAAAAAATAGCTGGGCGTTGTGGCAAGCGCGGGTAGTTCCAGCTACTCAGGAGGCTGAGGCAAGAGAATCACCTAAGCCCAGGAGTTGGAGGTTGCTGTGAGCTGTGTGACGCCACAGCACTCTACCAAAGGCAATAAGTGAGACTCTGTCTCTATAAAAACAGAAAAACTCATAAACAGGATTAAAAACATGGTTGTAATTTTTGAGAAACATAGATTTCAAATGTCTAAAGAAATAGCTAGGAGAGTTAAATTTGGGGAGGACCAAAGAAAGAGACTGCATTTACTGTTTATTATTAGCTGCAAAAAAAAAAAAAAGAAAAAAAAAGCCCATTCCACTTCTAAAACAATATGGATGAAATTGAGAAGGTAAAAGTTAAAATGAAAAACAACGAAAGCATGATTAAGTGCAGCAAGGTAGTATTGATGCTTTTAAGTTCAGTTTAATCACTGGTACAATGTTATGTATTTGCCACTCAGACTATTTAAGACCATGCAAAATTAGACAGTTTAGCATCAGGCTTTTCATCTAGAATGTGTAAAGTAGATTTGTAATTTTAAGTTGAAAGGTGTGAGAATTTCAATAATTCTGTAACAGTATTGGAATGTTTACGATAACTTGAGGTTCCCCATATTTGTATATTTATTTAATATGCTTTGGTAAATTTTGTTTTGGCTTTTGATTAGGGTTTTTTGGCTTTCCGCTTTTGGTTAGGGTGGGGTGGTAGGCAGAATGCCATCCTTCTTCCACAAAAGATGTCCATTCCTTAATCCCTGGGGAAACCACTGAATGTTAGTTTTTACATGGCAACGATATTTTGCACATGTGATTAATATTAAACACCTTGAGGGGGGAAATTGTCCTGTACTGCCCTGCATGGCCCAAGCTAATCTCTTTAAAGAGAACCTTTCCTGGCTGCAGAGAACCAGAGACCAAAATGGAGGAAGGGGCCAAGAGCCAGTGCATGTGAGCAACCCCTAACAATGGGAATGCCCCTTGGCTGACAACCAGTAAGGTGGGGGGGGGGGGGCTCAGCCCTGCCACTGCATGGAAGCCAATGCTGCCAATAGTCTCCAGAAGGGAATGCAGCCTGTTAACCTTGATTTTAATCTAGTGAGACTTGTATCAGACTTCCAACCTACAGAATTAATAGTAAGTTTGTGGTAAATTTTACAGCAGCAATATAGAACTATTACGTGGTGAGTCTTCTTGGTTTGACAGTTAAAATGCTTAAAAAGAAATATGAATGCACTAAATATATACATACAGCTTAAAATGTTTAAGACTGTTTAGCTAAATTTGAGATTGAAAGAGAGGCAGTCCAAAAACTAGGAGGCCAGAGAGAGGTGGGTGCAGAGTCCTCTAAGATTGAAGTGAGCATTAAGTGGGAGACAGATAGGAAGCCACATCCTCAGGGCTCCAGGGAGGAGGTATGGGAGGTCAAAAGGAGAGTGTGAGTTTGAGGAGCAAGGAGGATGCCCGGCTGCAAACCCTCCAGGCCAAGGTGTGCTGGAGAGAAACTGTTCAGAGAGGAGAGAAACTGAGAGCAGAGGGAGTGCAGGGGCTGGGCTGCAGGGCTGCTCTCAGAATGGGGGCAGGGGGCTGCAGGACTGGTCTGGACAGGACCAGGGACTTTGCTGACAATAGCCTCAGCTCCAGGGCTCTCTACCATCTCCTCCTGTTGCCAGGTCCTGCCCCTGCCCAGTGCCCAGCACCATGCCTGACCACTGCAGGTATTCCACCACTGCCTGGGGTCCAGGCTTGTCCTATGGGCTGCTCTCTTAATGGGATAAGCGATTCCTGCAGCAGGTCTGTCCAGGGCTGATCCTCACTCCATCCTCGAGGTGTGCATTGGGCGCTGTGGGTACTCCGGCTCCGGGTAGGGCAGCCTCTGGTGCTGAGGACTTAAAGGCCCTGGTGGGGCAGCTGGGGAGGGGCTCACAGCCAGAAGCAGGATGATATGGGACGTGGCCTGCGTTGTGGAGGCCAGAGTTGGCAGAGCACCCCTGATCCTAAGGACATGTGGGCCCTTCACTCCCGCACCCCGGCTTCCTCACCCCCCGGGAGGGCCCGATCCCTGGCCCCCTCTGCAGGCCCTTTCCTCACTGGCTCCAGGGGCACACAGGTGGAGGCCCCCGGCTCAGAGCAGGGTCAGGGGTGGGCCCCGCGGTGCTTGAGGAAGGCGCTCTCCAGGAACGCCGCCAGCTTCGTCCGGTCGTCCTGCAAGCGGGAGGTTGGAATGGGGGCACGGAGGGGCGCGGCGCACCCCGCAAGCTCTCTTACCCGTCCGCGCACATCCGCGCACCTCGGGGACGAAGCCGTAGTGCACGAGCTCCGCAGCCAGATCCTGCGCGCTGTCGGCTGAGTCAACAGCAAAGGCGAGGGGCGAGGGGCGAGGCGTGAGGCCGCCGCGCCGCCTGCCGCTCAGGGTCGCCGCCCGCCGCCCTGGACCCCGCCCGGCCTACTTGGAAGCAGGTCGTAGGTCAGCTGCCGGTGCAGCCGGTCCTCCAGCACCAGGAGCAGGGTGAGCTGGAGAGGCGGAGGGGCGGGCTCGGTGGGGGCGGCACTGGGAGCCAGAATCCCGCCCCGACGCCACCGGCCCCGCCCCTCAGCCCCAAGCCCCACTCACATGCCAGTGCGGCGCGTCCTCGCTTCTCTCCAGGTTGCACTGCATCTGGACCACCTGCGGGGACACCCACCAAGACTGGACTCAGTCACCAAGCAGCAAAGAGCAGATGCTGCCTCAAAGGGTCAGTAGAGATGGGAAACAGAAACCAGCTCTTGGAGGAGCCCAGAAAACCCTTCTCACTGCTAGTGGGTTGGCCAGTTAAAAAAAACTTCCGGAGGCATAGACATCAGGACTGTGGGGTTGGGTACTAAAGGATGAATAGGTGGAGAGGGCACCTGAAGGAATAGGAAACTGTGGGAAGCCCAAGGCAGGGCGTGACAACACCAAAGCAGGGGACTCCAGCAGGACCAAGCCAGGGGTTGCCTGATCTCTGCCAGCATCCAGCAGCCAGGCAGCTTTAACTTTTAGGACAGGAATTGTGGCTGCACTGTAGGAGGCAGCCAGAAGGAGAAGGCCAGGCCAGGGGTCAGTACAGAGTCCAGGTGAAGGACGGACATGACCCAGATCAGGACAATGGCTATGGGGACACATCAGGGCCAAAGCCAGAGCCTCTGGAGCCCACTGGGTATGAAGAGGAAAAGGGAAGGTGACCAAGAAAGACCCCTGACTAAATCCAGGGGAAGCACCAGGACACTTTTGTCAGAGGATCAGCAACTGGGTGGGGCATGGGGGGTGGGAATGGGACTGGAGAGGTCTCTGGGAGAAGGCTGGGTGGGGCATGGAGCCGGGGCAGGAGGGGTGGGAAGGGTCTAGTGGGATGGCAAAGGGCTCTAGAAAGGGGAGTGTCCCAGCTTGTCTTGTGACCTCTATGACTGCACATAAGCCTGGCAGAAAACAGGGCTGGGGGCACTCAGGTCTTAAGACAAGGCGCCCACTCTGCTTGTGGGAGGTCTGAGGGATGGCACAGAGCAGCAGGGATGGAACTCACCTTCCTGGTTTCAGGGTCAAAGGGTTCTGGTGTTGGGGTCTTGGCCTTCTGGGCCTCCTCAGGTGGTGGGACCAGCACACGGGGCAGCCCCAGGGGCCGAGCGGCTGCAAAGTTCATCAATGGGTAGATCCCATTCCTAGAGACACATGAAGGTGGCAGGGGGCTGGGGGCTCAGGCTGACAGTTTCCTGGTCCCCACCTCACACCAGCACTCACCTGACATCCTCTAGGAATTTGTCCAGCTCCAAGAAAGAGACCTCCGAGTACCTGGCAGGGGGATGGAAGGCACATGAAGGGCCGACGAGTTGAGACAGGAGGCTTCGAGGTGCTGGCTGCTCACCGCCACTGCAGTGGGGGCCGGCAGGGCCGGGGAAGCTCTGCCAAGACTGCATGCAGGTCCATGGCCTTGGTCTTCTCCTCCACCACGTTCTCAGGCATGAGGTCTAAGGCCACAGGAGCACCAGGGTGGTGGTTCAAGTCTTGGGTCCTTGGGCCTCTGTGGGCCTCTTTCCACATCTGGCCCCTAACCCCCCCGGGCCATCCCCTGGGCCAGCCCACTCCTTACACTGATGCTGGATGAAGCAGTGGGCTGCCAGCAGCTTCAGGGAGTGCACCTCAAAGAGCACTCGGTGGAAAAGGAGGCTGTGGGCAGAAGGCCGGCAGGCAGGGTTCCGGGCCAGGCAGGAAAGGATGAACTCCTGGGCATAGAGAAGACAGGCTGGCAGTAGGTGGCTCTGCTCTACCCCAGAGTCCTCTCTCCTCATGGACACCACAAGACACACAGGAACACACTTAGAGGCAAGCCAGGCCAGGACCTGATTGTAGGAACTTGAGTACAGTTGGTCCTGAGCTCAGATCACCCCTGCTCTACTTCTCTGTCACAGAAATCATGGGGAGCAGGTACTATTATCCCCAAGTCACAGATGAGAGACCTCCTACCCACAGCCTGACCTTATTTGCCTACCCCAGTTCAGGCCCAACTCTGGAGCTGACCTTGATGGACTCCCACCTGGTCCACATCCGTGCCCTCCCTGTCTTTTATGCCCATTCAGGTACCCCCTGTTGCCTGAGGCTTTGGATGCAGCTTCCACCCTGTACTCCCCATCAATGCCCACCCTGTCCTCCTCTCTACAAGCTGGGGCCTCCTCTACTTGTGAAAGTTTAAAGGCAATGACTTGGAGCCTGTGCAAATGCTGGCTCTAATGCTTACTCTAAGCCTTGGGCAAAGTACTTAGCCCTTGTGAGGTTCAGTTTTTCTATCTTTGAAACAGATATAGTAGCAGTGCCCACACAGGGAGTGTTTCTCTGGCCTCCCTCCAAGGAGGCGCAGCTGGCACACCCCTAAGCTACATTAGCCCCAGGACACTTCTGGGCCTACCCATAGCTCTCACTCAGCCAGCCTGGGAGGGGCAAGGCAAGCTGCTTACCCGCATGTTGGGGTCACTCAGTGAATGCCTGGCACGAGCTATGGCCTCCTCTGTGACTCGAGTGTCCCCATTGGACTGGATCTCCAGCACAGCCATCTGGGATACAGGGCCAGGTCAGGCATGGGGAAGGGGCACGAGTGAGATGGGCAGAGCCTAGCAGGGAGGAGGCTGGGAAGCTGGAGCCAGTACCTCCAGTGCACACATCCCAAAGGAGAAGATGTCCACAGTGGTCCCATCGGCAACCTCTGAAAGGGAAAGAGTGAGGCAAGGCAGGTGGGATGGGCGGGCAGGGCAGGGCCTGGTGCCGTCCCTGACTCACCACCATACTCTGGTGGGAAGAAGTGCCGATTCCGCAGTTGCTCTCGCTCGGCCTGGATGGGGCTTCGGAGATCATCCGGCAGGGCTGTGGAAGAGAGCAGGGGCTGAGCCAATGGGCTGACTCCAGGACCCCATCCACCCAAGGCCCCCACGCACCATTGGAGAAGATTCGGTGCCACACTGCTCAGGCCAGGCAGGAAGGAAGACTGGAGTGAGCAAGCTGGGTGCCAGGGTGTCCTCTGCCCTGGGTTCCCAGCTTATCCCCCATCCTTGACCCCCCACCCCTCACCCTTGCCCAACCCGCCAGCACCGGAGCCAATCTTGACGAGGCCGTTGTGCTGAATGAAGATGGTGTCGCTGGTCAGGTTCCCATGGATGATGGGAGGGCTGCAGGCATGCAGAAAGCTGCAGGTATTCGAGGGGAGAGCAGGCAGAGCTGGGTCAGGGGTGGAGAGGTGGTGCGTAGTGGGGAGGGCATGTGGGCAAGCCAGGCCCTCACCTGAGTGCTGACAGGATCTGAGTGCACCAGCGCTTCCAGGCCTAGCAGCAGATGCAGGACTCCGTCGGGTGGGCACAGGAGAGGTGGCTGGGCCTGTGGAGCCCACCCTTCACCCTCACCTGGCCCATCCAAGGCTGCTCCTGTCCCCGATGCTGCCTCAGCCCTGCCCTCTCCCCCATGCCACCCTAGCCCACTCCCCATACCCGGGCATTCATAGCTTTGTGGTTCTTCTTGGTCTTTTTGAGAAACTGCTTGAGGCTGCCAGATGACACATACTCTGTGATGAAGATGACCTGTGGTGGGGGTGGGGGCTCAGGGGCTCCAGTAGCTATGACTCCCACAGTTGCCCCACTGTGGCTTGTGGTCTTGCCTGCTCACCCGTGCATGGGCCTCAGAGGCATCCAGCCAGTACTTGTGCAACTTGACGATATTAGGGTGGTCCACCAGGGCCAGCTGCTCAAACACCGTCTGGATCTTCTCCTGGGAAGGGTGGGGCTGTCACCCAGCAGTAAAGGGGATGGGCTGAGGAGGGAGCATTGGGCCTCACCTCATGGGCTGAGAAGGCCTTCCTGTCTGCGAAGTGGAGCTCATTCCACACCACTTCCACCCCCTCCTCCGTGTCCATGGCCAGGAAGGTGCTCTGAACCCCCGGCATATTCCCCTGGTTCACCTGGAGGTGGGAGTGGTGGGGAGGGGTTATGTGTGCCCCGGTTTGTCAGGGTTGAGGGTGGGGACTTGGTCCCTGTCCACACCTCTCCTGCAGTCTAAGCATGTGGGGCAGCCCAGACCCCTCTGTGGGAGAGTGGGGGTCCTGGCAGGCAGCTGGCATGCAGGAGCCGGGTGCACCAGGGGATAGGCTGAGAGGATTTGGATCAGGTTTCAGGGCGCTGAGCACCAGATCCCAGAGGCATGGGGAGGTGGTCCCAGGAGGAAACCGGTTTCCTATGGGAATTGAGGGTTTCAGAGCATGGGAGTCGGGCTAAAGGGGGCCAAGAGCTGGCCAGGTCCTCAGACACCCAAGAGAGACCGTGGAGAGGTTTCCAGCCCCTGTGCTCCCCAGCGCCCTATGGCCTCGCGTGGCCTTCAGGCCCCTGCGGCTCTGGGAGGTGGTGTCACCTCTACCTCCCGCACTTGCCCACCTGCTCCCGCCGCTTCTGCCAGCGGCCACACGGGCTTTCCTCCAGGATGTCACTCTCGTCCTCACTCTCGTCCTCCCTTTCCCGCTCCCGGCTCCGCCTCGGCGCCGGTTCCGGGGCCGCCATGGTTCGGTGGGCCCAGGCCACCACCCTCCGCGCGATCCTCCGTCCGTCGCCGCCGCCGCTCCTGGCGGGACCTGCCCCGCGCCTAGCCGCTCAGCCCGGGGCCACAGTCGCTTCGAGCCCCCACCCCGGCTTCGGGATAGAGAGGCGCGAGCGCGCGGCGGACGGGCGGTGGGCCCAGGGGTGGAGCAGGCCCGCCCCTCCGGAGCCGCCTCTGCGGGCGGGAGCCGGAGCGGAGCTTCCCGGCTGTGCCCACCGCTCCCCGCCCCGCCCTGGCGAGGGCCCCAACCCCGCGTAGAGGCCCCGCCCTTTCCCGTCAGAGGCCCCACCCACTCCCGTCCGAGACCGGTCCGGCTCCTCCAGCGGCTGCTGTCTTGGGCTTCGGGGAGAGGAGTACTCAGGACCAGCCTGAGCCTTGTCTGTCGGGGCCTCCCTGGGCAGGTCGCAGCTTTTGCGGCCAGGGCGTAAGGGGAGGACCTAGGATCTGCCTCGGTTCCACTCTAGGAGCCGCAGCATCCCGCCCTGCCTCCCCTCCCCACTCCTGCCACACACTTTGGGAAACTTGAGAAATCAGAACGAGGGTCTGGACCAGCCCACTTTTTGTGCGTGCTTGCTTCCCTGAGGGTCTAGGGGTAGGCCTGGGGCAGGGGTTTCTGGGGGCCCACCAAGCTACGGCTGCTCCCACTGCAGCCTCCTAACCAACATACCCCAGCCCGCCGGCCCCAGGTCAGAGTGACAATGTTATCTACCTCTGGACATTGCTGCCTGTAGCTTTCCTGGCTGGCCGCCCTGCACACGAAGCCACACATGCTGCTGGCTTGGCTGGTCTCTGCCATGAGCCTTTGCCTTTTGCTGATGTTAACCTGTACTCTTGGATGTTAACCTGCATTCTTGGCTGCAAGAATAGCACTGGGAGTATAGTCATTGAACTAGAGGTGGCTTGGGCCCTCCCCTGGTGGTGGTCCCTTCTCACTCAGCATAAGGACCTCACCCTAACCACAAGGCCCTGCCCTCTCTGAGAGGCTCCAGGTGCTGTTTGTTCCCTGTGGGGTCTTCACCCAGCAAGCTCTCTGCCTCTGAGTCCTCTTCCTGCAGGTCCTGACCCATTGCCTCAGAGGGACTGGTCCTGGTGACCCACCTGGCATCACAGCCCATCCACTGTCCCCTGCTGGACTGGCTTCTTCATAGCATCCACCACCACTTGACCTCCTGTGTACTTTGCCCGTCTCTCTTTGCTGTCTGTCCTGGCTGGGATTTGAGCTCCATCGGGGAGGGAAGGGCTATCTGCTCAGTGCCCCTGCCCTTTCTGTCATTGAATGGACGTGTGGGTGGACATGGGTGCATTTTAAGTGGATTTCAAGGGGCTCATGAGGAAGAGGTAATATTTGAGCTGAATCTCAATGAATTTCCTTCCCTTTCTCTGACCCCATAACTGGACACATGCTATGTGGTGAGTCAAATAGAACCTCCCAAAAGATACACCTTCCGCCTACGTAGGCACACAGCCTCATTCGGAAAAAGAGTATTTTTTTTTTTTTTTTTGAGACAGAACCTCAAGCTATCCCCCTGGGTAAAGTGTCATGGCATCACAGCTCACAGCAACCTCCAACTCCTGGGCTCAAGTGAGTCTCCTGCCTCAGCCTCCCAAGTAG